AAACGAAACGTGAAGTCCAAGGTAGACAAAACAACATACCTCACACGAAACAAGATCCCACAACCCACTAGTGCCAATAGGCTACCTAAGTATGGTCCCCAATCAGAGACAACGAGCTACAGCTGCCTCTGATTGGGAACCACACCGGCCAACATAGATCTACACATACCAGATCTAAACATAGAAAATCAACATAGCAAAACACAACACAGAAAATACACACCCTGACTCAACAAATACGAGTCCCTTGAGTCAGGACGTGACAGCATGTATGCATTTAAGTCTATGGTATGCACATAGACTAGGAGTGGAATTGGAAAACAATAAAATAAGAAAACATTTAACTATATTAAAATTATAAGGTCAAGGTCGTGCTGTTATGTGGATCACAGGGTAATCACCACCAGGCCTTGGATATAGAGAGACAAACAAACAAACAGAAGTATGTAAAATATTATCGAAAGGCCTTGGAGAATACCATCTGAACTGGGAAGGAAACATCTCAAACTCGGTTTGGAAGGCAGCTGGGAAATGAACGTGTCTCCACAGCTCCCATATCTTTCATCACCGTGCTCTGTTACTTGTGGCTATCACTATTCCACCCTAGCGTGGCATTTAATGCAGTTGACATTGCCTCCGTGCCAGGCAATACATTTACAGCATCAGCCTGCAATACTGATGATAGGAAGCCATGATAGGATCTGATTAAAAGTGTACCGGATTATGCCACATAACTTGTGTGATAACCAATCAGCACAGTTATCTTAAATAACTTCTGTGTTTTCTTTTCATACAAGAAAATAACCCTCAATGTCAATAGGTTGTCATATGTATAGTATTTCCCCTGGAATAAACATCCTCAATGGATGGGTTTAGATAGACTTCAAATACTATCAAATACTGCTAGATGGTCGGGGTTTGCACTTTTGGGACTATCCCATTGGTTCCATTGTGGCAGGCAATCGCAATCGAGCACAGCTTAATTTGTAAAAATATTTTGAATAAGGTTTCAAATACTATTTGAACCCAGGTTATCCTCAACGTGTACAGTGTTAGACAAGTCAGTGTCAGATACAAACACTCCAAGAATAGTATAGTGTGGCTCAACATTGATCGTGGCTATGAAAACTATTTAAATCCTGTCCATCCCTTTAGACTCTAGGGTCTTCCACAGACTGTATAATAAGTGTGATAACAGTTACGGATAAATAAATAAAAACCATCTAAAACCTCCTGTGTTCACACTTTTAGAACATTCAGGTAAAATTTTGCATACTAGACTAGTTATCAGCGGGGCCATATGTTCACTGGCTAATATGCATGAGGGACTCTTTGTACTGTACCTGGGAGCAGATGCACCTGCAGATGGGTGCCCTCCCGGCCAGATGTGAAACATGTCCAGCATCTCATCTGCACCGAGAGAAGAGGCTTTGCCTGGTGGCTCTAGAGAGATGGTTTACTTACTGAATACATAAACAATGCTTGAATGGAGAGAACACACGCTGTACAGTACACACATTGCATTGCAACTCAAGGTAAGGTCAGTAAGGTATCCCCAGGGCTTACAGTGTATTATATAAATATTTAAATGTTTAGTATGGCCTAACCGAAGGCCAAGGGACAGTAAAAACGTATAATGAAAGTCAACAGAAGTTGTAAGGGTGGCTGTGGTTGGAAAACAGCTATCAGGTGTAAATAATCTTTCTGAGAATCAAAGAATTGTAACAACTAACGAAATCTACTGAAACAGAACTATTTGCTCATATTCAGTTGTGTTTTTATATATCCCTGTAAATAATAAATACATCTCTCTCATCAACTCACTTCCAGACACATTCTACAAAGACGTATTTTCTGGTGATGAGTAACTAAGTGATGAAATATTACTGATCATCTCACTGACAACAAACTGTTGTCTAATAAGATAACAGATGACACAGGATGGAAAACTACATTTAATGTGTATTTATTCATAATAATGCAATGTAATCATCTGGGAAATCAAATCCAAATTATGACAGGAAGACTATTGCAGAGAATTATAGTTATATAAAAAATAAAAGCATTCTGATACATTTAGACAAAGTTCTGTTCTGTGGGTGTTGTCGTCAAGAGAACGATTATCCAATTAGAGGAAATGCATTATTGAGTTAAAATCCCTATTGAAATCTGCTGTACAATATAATATATGGGGTTTCTGAAGTCAAGATGGTAGCCTGGGGTAGAAAAAAAATCGACATACATTAAAAAGCAATGAATTTCTCTAATAAAATCTGTTTGCTGGTGGTACTTATGTAGAAAATGACAGCGAGGACCAGAAGCAAAGGAGGGGGGCGTTGTCTAGTTCCATTTCTCTGTAAGTGCGGAGAGAGCATTTTTCCACAAAAAAATATTTTTACCATTCCTTTGAAATATTACAAATAGTCATGGGGGAGTTGTTAATGTCAGCACACATTTGTAGATAAACAATGCAATAAAATATTGAATTGAGAGACATGGGGGAATGGAAGTTATAACTGATTGTTCGATAAAAGTGATAAAAAGTGACTGACCACACATGCTATGATTTACATAAATAATTTAATTGAACAGGGAAGAAAATGTTTTATTTTATTTTAACAGGTTGCTGAGAGGAAATGTATAGGCCTAAATCTTTGTGAGAAATGTATTACATTTTGTCAAAATCAGTTTGTATTCTGTTTTGTGTCATCTTGTGCTTTTTATATGAATACTGACAAATGGTTTCTTATATAATATTTTGCACTGGGGTGTTTACCCAATTAATTTGCTTATAGCCTATTTCTGATTATTCTGTAAAGAAAAAGGAATCAGAAAACAAAAACAAAAAATCCCCAAAAGAAAATAAATTAAAAGGGAAATGTAAAACCTTCCCCCAAAACATTGTTACGAACAATAGTAGAGTAATTTTACAATATGTTTTTTCAAAAACCAGCTGGTTAAGGTAACTCATGGTCTCAGGTAGTTCCAATGTATTTACAGTTTCTGTGAAAGTAGAGTTACGCTCATTTGAGTACTAAAATAGGTCTGTGAGAACCAGACAGTCTGATCCAATCGACTGACAAACACCCAGGTAAACCAAGTCCATTATCAGCTGTAATACTCCTTTTACAGTCCTTAGACATCATCGCAAAAATGTATTTTTCTCAGCAGGTCCAGCTGAAATGAATGGGGAGACATCAAAACCATCCCTCCCTCCAAGTTGTTTTTTGTCGAAGCCCATTGCTCCCCGTTCTCAATCAGTCACTCTGACAAAGCCACCGTCCTTCCTCCGCTCGAGCACAAGTCCCACTCCAAAAGCCCGGACTGTCAAGGGTAGTAAGTAATCTCCTAGGTCAAAATAAAGAGAGCTGTGTGGCGATGGGAGTTAGCTGCAGATCACATAATTTTTCTCTCTCTATAAAATGTGCCTATGGGGCAAATGCTTGCATGGTAAAATAGCCCATGTCGGTTATTCCATTCATGCAAATTTCCACTAAGTCTGAAGGCACTTGATTTCATGTCAGACAGCAGCGTCTTATCTTATCCCGAGAGGACTAGCTGTTGAGATAGGACCAAAAGATGCAAAAACTGCTCTTTCGACTGCTCATAAAGTAACCTTCCAAAAGACTGCCGCAAGCCTGTATGGGAACTGTATCATGATCAATGAGCAACTCATGCAGGGAGAGAAAGAGAGTGCTGACATTCAATGTTTTTCTTTTTCGCACCTATTTTATGTGCTTATGGAGCCATGCTGAAATCAAAGATCAAGATAATGACTTATATTGGAAACGGATTTTAATCTTGGCAGTTGCAAATAGGAGAGAGAGAGAGAGAGAGAAAAACTTCTACAACCTGAAATCAAATGAGCTTGAATTTCCTCCAATGTCCTTAAAGTAAGGAATGTTACAGGAGGATGATTCAGAGCGCATTGGAATACACACTGCTCTGGTCTTTAAGCACCACATGTGGCCTGACCTGACTGAATCATGATTGGTCAGGAGGTGAAAGGAGAAGCTTAGCTAGATAATTTAAACTAAAAAAAGAGAGATAGAAGCTCACCTTTCATACAAAGGGCTGGATTGAAATTACCATGGTTAATAAAGCCTAGAGTACCTAAGGGAGGGAAAAACGCAATAATCCCTCATCAATCCCTTTTAGGTAATGAAAGAAAGATGTGTCATGTCCCTGTTTATTAAATCACATTCTGAAATTGTACGGCAGGTGGGACACAGAGAAGCCCCTACAGTACATCGAAAGGATCTAAGGTCTCAATCTCATAGCGCTGCAACTACGAGGAGTCTAGAGGTTGATTACACACAAGGCATACAATGCACCATAGTTCAGCCACTGCATAATAGAGTAACCTAGCTAACAAGTGTACGCACACTGTAATGAAACCAACCTTACGCAACCTCGAAGGTAAAAAAAGAAAAGGTAAAAAAAGAACAGACAAAGGAATAATTATGAAGAATTGACTTACAGATATACATATAATATACCAAGCAGTCAAAGTCTAGCCTCTGGGTAGAAAGTATGCAAATGTTCTTGTTTATCCACATTTTGATGAATCTGACCGTAGGCAGCCTCCAAGTTTTAAGAGAGATGAAAAGCCACAACCCAGAGGAATAGCAGCCTCTATCATATTCATGAAAAAATAGCTTCGGGGTCAGTGTGGGTTGTTGAGCGAATTTCGTACATTTCTCGACATACTGTTGACATAAAATCAACCTATTCTACACCCATCTAATCAAGCAATCAATTATCATCATTCTGTGGCCGTAATATTTTAATTTTTTTATTTAAATGTAACCACACCATGCGTGCTTGTGCTTTACAGAAATGTACCCACACTCTGCCACGATTGCTTCAGCTTCAGAAAAAATTATGAACTGGAGTCCCTACTACGGAGACTATGGAGAACTCGACTCTCCATCCTGACCTTGGAGTGCTCTCTGTGCATATTTAAGAAAAATCCGGATTTACTGAGTTTTTTGTTTCCTTCATACTCCACCCTGGACCAGTGCTGGACTGCTGCTCTCCTGCAGACTGAAAATGAGTGCATCTTTGGTAGTTTTGGGGGTTTGGACAGTCCAAGTCTGGAAACTCTTCAATGGGGGTTGGGCCGACGTCAGGTTGCTCCTCCTGGGAGAGAGGGGTCACCTCTGAAGGCCCACAAAGACCAGGGGCAGGGTGACCAATAACTGCCATATATGGGGCGTGGTGGGAGGAGCCAGTGACCTTAGATCTGTAGGGATAGAGAAAGATAAAGAAAGCTGGTGATTTAGATAATCTAGGGAGCATGATACTTTTTAATTGAGCTAATGGGATAATGTGTGTGGAACGTGTACGATTCTATCTTTGATTTACGGAATACTTTTCAATATATTTTATAGGTTTTAGTTGTTCTGAGGAGTACTCTTTCTCCCTGGAGGAGACTCCTCTGGCATGTACAGTGCCGTGAAAAAGTATTTGCCCCCTTTCTGATTTTCTCTATTTTTGCATATTTTGGATACTGAATGTTATCAGATCTTTAGAAAACCTAATATTAGATAAAGGGAACCTGAGTTCCCAAACAAAATATTTATATACTTATTTTATTTATTTAATTAACAAAGTGATGCAACACCCAATTCCCCTGTGTGGAAAAGTAATTGCCCTCTTAACACTCAATAACTGGTTGTGCCACCTTTAGCTGCAATGACTACAACCAAATGCTTCCTGTAGTTGTTGATCAGTCTCTCACATCACTGTGGAGGGATTTTGGCCCACTCTTGCATGCAGAACTGCTTTAACTCAGTGACATTTGTGGGTTTTCAAGCATGAACTGCTCGTTTCAAGTCCTGCCACAACATCTCAATTGGGATAAGGTCTGGACTTTGACTAGGCCATTCCAAAACATTTTCTGGCTTGCATAACACTTCAAAGCAGCTGTTCGATCATTCCCTCTAAAATGTAATTTCACTGGCGAGCAAATCTGAGAGAGCTAACAGTAGAGCTCTCTCAATAGAGCTCTCTCAGTCCTTGAATTATAGTTCCTAAGAGGAATGATATAAATGCATATGTTATAAGCCTTGCCTCTTCATAGTTGATTGGTTCTGGATGATGTATAGGTCCATGGTTGTCATGGGTTCCCAGGTAAAAACAAAAAAAAGCACTTACTGTTGGGTGGAGGGTCTTTACATTCTCCTTCCTCAATGGTGACATCATCTATGGCGATATCCCCTTCTATACCCGGACCACGAATTCCTTCCAGAAGCAACTACCAAAATGGGATAAGACAGACAAAAACCAAACTTGTTAACACCAACTGCTTAAATGTCTTACTGCTACTAACTCAATGGCTCATTCTGTGAAACATATACTGTAGCAAAATATATAAGACAAATGTTTATATAAGACATGGCATAAGAGGGGAAGCAACAGATGAAGGTAGTTTTGTACTTTTTACCTTAGGGCCACCATAGTTCTGCATTGGTGACCCACTGCTCCTCCCAAAGAGCTGTACCCACCTGGAAAGAGGCTATTGGGTGGATGTTGACTTTGGCTTGCTTCCATCGGTCCCCTTGGTTCCCGACCAAGGTCCACAAGGAACTGTCTGAGCCCGACTGGCCCTTCTGCCGTAGGTACGCGTTCAATGCCCCTAGAGGAGAAAACATCATGCACTTTATGGACAACATAGTGCCTGGCAAGCTCAATCAAGCACAGCTTCAGTATTTGAAAGATTTCAAGCACAATTGGAACCCAAGTCTGATATCATCTATCATATATGGCCTCATCATGGCAGCACTTATCCTTATGTATTGATACTTTACTCATTATTAATGTATGTATACTATTAACAAAACACATAAAAGCTCATTACTGCAAATACTAAATGTCTTAAGGGGTCTACACATTAACTTCCCCTTATTGAGTGTGGCTTTTATTGAGTGTAATGTATGAATTTGCTAAGATTATTTACTTGTCAAGGGATGATCATGGGAGTTAAATCTTGTGGGGGGGTTTTCAGTGCAAACGAGGAGATGCCAAAGTGAGTGCTCTGATGTACAGAGGCCAAACTAGACGAGCCATCAGCTACAATATGCCATATCCCTGTGACGGGAGCCTTAAGTGGATCTCACTGGATGATCAAAAGGCAACAACAACAGACTCTACTTCAAATAAGAACTCAAAAGTCTCTCCACCACTCACTCACATTCTGCACAGAATAAAAATATACTCTGAATGCAGGTTGCCTTTCTTTCTCTAACGGAAACCAATGAAAGAGAAAGACGGGTAAGAAGGACACATGCCGCCAGCCATTTTTGACTCTGGCTGCTGGTTTCTGAGGCTGAGCGAGCCGAGAGAGAGAGGGCCCCTTGAGCCCTGCGTGGATTAGGTTGACACGTCCTATTCAGAATCCCAACAGCTTTGCGGGGCAGAAAATTGAAGTTGCAGGCATGTCTGGCAGGTCAGGGGTCACACCCATCGCTCAGGTGCAACTGCCTGTCTGAGGAAGACACTGCAACAACAGGAGGGCACGAGCAGGGTGTGAGGCGGCAACCTTGGCGACAGAAGCTGGGGAGCCTGACTAGATTTTGATGGATGATAAGGTTATTAATATTCAAATGGAAGGTTTGTAAACACCCAGAAATAGTGAGGTTTTTTCTTGTGCTGTGTTCAATTTCCATTTCCACCAACACCTGGGGGGCTTCAGATATTCTAGTATTGAAGTGTTACTGAGTGGTTGTCGAATTAAAAAAGAAAGGTGGGAGTACAACTTGAGTGGTAAGCAACCACTTATCTAATCATCAGGGAGGCACCGAACAGGGAAATGGGGGATATGATTGCAAGTGGATGCTAATGGAAAGCTAGCATGTGTGTACTTAACAAATCAAACACACTCTATGCTAAATTTGCCTGATGAAATAGCTACAGTGCAGGATTTGCATGAATCCTTGTAACATACACTACATGACCAAAAGTATGTGGACACCATCTCATTCCAAAATCATGGGCATTAATATGGAGTTGGTCCCCCTTTGCTGCTATAACAGCCTCCACTCTTCTGGGAAGGCCTTCCACTAGATGTTGGAACATTGCTGCAAGGACTTGCTTCCATTCAGCCACAAGAGCATTAGTGAGGTCGGGCACTGATGATGGGCGACTAGGCCTGGCCTCGCAGTCGGCGTTCCAATTCATCCCAAAGGTGTTCGATGGGGTTGAGGTCAGGGCTCTGTGCAGGCCAGTCAATTTCTTCCACACCGATCTCGACAAACTATTTCTGTATGGACCTCGCTTTGCGCACGGGGGCATTGTAATGCTGAAACAGGAAAGGGCCTTCCCCAAACTGTTGCCACAAAGTTGGAAGCACAGAATCGTCTAGAATGTCATTGTATGCTGTATCGTTATGATTTCCTTTCACTGGAACTCTGGGGCCTAGCCCGAACCATGAAAACAGCCCCCAGACCATTATTCCTCCTCCCCCAAACTTTACAGTTGGCACTATGCATTGGGGCAGGTAGCGTTCTCCTGGCATCCGCCAAACCCAGATTCGTCCGTCAGAATGCCAGATGGTAAAGCGTGATTCATCACTCCAGAGAACGCGTTTCCACTGCTCCAGAGTCCAATTGCGGCGAGCTTTACACCACTCCAGCCGACGCTTGGCATTGCGCATGGTGATCTTAGGCTTGTGTGCGGCTGCTCGGCCATGGAAACCCATTTCATGAAGCTCCCGATGAACAGTTCTTGTGCTGACGTTGCTTCCAGAGGCAGTTTGGAACTTGGTAGTGAGTTTTGCTAAGCGCTTCAGCACTCGGCAGTCCCGTTCTGTGAGCTTGTGTGGCCTACCACTTCGCAGCTGAGCCGTTGTTGCTCCTAGACGTTTCCACTTCACAATAACAGCACTTATAGTTGACCGGGGCAGCTCTAGCAGGGGAGAAATTTGATGAACTGACTTGTTGGAAAGGTGGCATCCTATGACGGTGCCATGTTGAAAGTCACTGAGCTCTTCAGTAAGGCCATTTTACTGCCAATGTTTGTCTATGGAGATTGCATGGCTGTGTGCTCGATTTTATACACCTGTCAGCAAAGGTTGTGGCTGAAATAGCCGAATCCACTAATTTGAGGGGGTGTCCACATACTTTTGCATATATAGTGTACATTTAATTTAAAAGGGTTCCCCAACTGGCATTTGGCCCGTGGGTGATTTTATGCAAATCAGCTCCAAGTGATTTTAATTTTGGAAATCTGTTCCAAAGCATTCCTAAGCGTAATAGAGAGATATATGTGATCGTATACAAATGTAAGCAAGGTTTGAAGTTATTATGTTTCAGTCAAATATTATATATGTTTGGACTTCTTGCGGTCAATTTGCAGTCTACAAATTATTTGTAATTATATTCCGGCCCCATCTGCTCAAGAAAAAAAGAAAAAAACGGCCCCCGGCTGAATATAGTTGATGATCCCTTCACTAGGGGCAGCTTACCTATGTGTTTCCCATACATATGGTAGTAGAAGCCAAAGCAGTAGGTGGGAGCGGCGTTCACAGTCCCATAGGGGCTTTTGGGGGCGACGTTGAACGTGGGGGTCAACAGTCGGGCCTTTTCTCCCTCCAGCCGAGGTCGAGACGTTTCAATGTACATGTAGAAACCTGTATATTGGAAAAACAACAACAATCAATGTCCATGTAGAAACCCATATGATATGAAAACAACAACACTAATTAAACATTACATCATACTTTATGTAAAAAAAAAAAAATAGTAACTCTCTCTCTCTCTGTCATGGTAGTGTGATTCCGTCCTGGATTCAAATAGTATGTCTTCTTTCAAATGCTTTGAGCATATAATTAAGTCTGCCTCAAGTGCCAAAAGGGCTGGCTTTGCACTTTTGGGATTATTGGTGCCATTGTGCCAGGCAAACACAGTTAAAGATACAATTATTTGAATGAAAACAAATCCTTTTTGTACCCAGGTCTGATGTGATGGTGTTCCACTGCAATTACATTTACATTTTTACATTTTAGTCATTTAGCAGACGCTCTTATCCAGAGCGACTTACAGTTAGCACATACATTATTTTATCGAACCCACAACCCTGGCATTGCAAACGCCATGCTCTACCAACCCTGGACGACGCTGGGCCAATTGTGCGCCGCCCCATGGGTCTCCCGGTCGCGGCCGGCTACGACAGAGCCTGGATTCGAACCAGGATCTCTAGCAATTGAGAGACCATTAGAATTCTAAATCAAACGGCAGAGTTAATCTCTCTACCTATAACAACTGCTACAAGATTGTAGCTAAGGTACATGCCGTTAGCAGTCCATAAACTGTTGTGGTATCGGGAGAGTTTTCTGAACACTGCACTGCAATTTTCTGTCTGACCTTGAGGGAGATGAAAAGTTGAAATTGTGTCCATTTCCATTTATCAATGCACTTGCATAAATCCATAAAACTGGCTTGCTCCGTGGATACCAATCAGATAAAAAGAGTTTCATCTTCTTAGAGCAAGTTATGTCGGGAATTCAAAAAGCAGATGACTTGAACTGAAAGAAAAACAATAAACGGAATGGGAAACTGTGAGCCACGTGTTTCATTGCAATGCTTTGGATAATTAAAAGCAATGCATTATTTATGACATTATCCACCGTAACAGGCCCTAAAACACTTAAACAAATGTATCCCGAGGAGTCCTACCAATTAATTGGTTTATTTTAACGGCTGGGGCTTTTGGCATTTAACGAATGGATGGAATTGCAGGAGATTCTACTTTGGAGGAATGGCTACTGCTAGCTCCCTCAGGCGGTTGTCGATGGGCAGGTAGTGACTGACACTCATATTTCACAATGCTGCCCGCGGCGCTGCAGATGTCTATCACGGCTCACACACACCCTATAGAGACAGAGCAGGAGGAGGAGGAGTAGGAGGAGGAGGAGATGGGGGCAGATGAGGTGGTACTATACAGCAGGGGAGCATACCCAATTCCAGAAAATAAAAGTACAACTGGAAACTGCAAAGAATACTAACATATCACATGCATGACAAGTCTTACAAAGCATTATAACTGCATCATATACCTGTTGGCTAAGTGTTACCTTCTTTTGCAAGGGTCATGACTGGGGTTAACTGATTGCAATTGTGTAGCTACCTCTGTGTATTTACTAGCCTTCTGCTAGACCGGAGAATTCAATAAATAATTTTAATATTTTAATAAAGGCTTGCTAAATTCAACATTTTCTCATGTCCCTCCGTCAACCCTGTCAGTGTCACTTCTAGGAAGATTTTAACCCACCTACTCCCAAAACTTCTCCAAGTTTCACTATCATTGTAAAGCCGTAGTTATTTTGTTGCTTTGACAAAGTCATTTCTGAAGATCATTTTTTATTTCATGTGATTAGTGATTCATTTACAGTGCCAGTCACAAGTTTGGACACACCTACTCATTCAAGGGTTGTTCTTTATTTTTACTATTTTCTACATTGTAGAATAATAATGAAGACATCAAAACTATGAAAGAACACATTTGGAATCATGTAGTAACCAAAAAAGTGTTAAACAAATCAAAATATATTTTATATTTGAGATTCTTCAAATAGTCACCCTTTGCCTTGATGACAGCTTTGCACACTCTTGGCATTCTCTCAACCAGATTCACCTGGAATGCTTTTCCAACAGTCTTGAAGGAGTTCCCACATATGCTGAGCACTTGTTGGCTGCTTTTCCTTCACTCTGCGGTCCGACTCATCCCAAACCATCTCAATCGTGTTGAGATCGGGGGATTGTGGAGGCCAGGTCATCTGATGCAGCACTCCATCACTCTCCTTCTTGATCAAATAGCCCTTACACAGCCTGGAGGTGTGTTGGGTCATTGTCCTGTTGAGAAACAAATGATAGTCCCACTAAGCCCAAACCAGATGGGATGGCGTATCGCTGCAGAATGCTGTGGTAGCCATGCTGGTTAAGTGTGCCTTGAATTCTAAATACATCACAGACAGTGTCACCAGCAAAGCACACCCACACCATAACACCTCCTCCTCCATGCTTTACAGTGGGAACTACACATGCTGAGATCATCCGTTCACCCTCACTAAGCATTTATTTGGGCTGCAATTTTGAGGCTGGTAACTCTAATGAACTTATCCTCTGCAGCAGAGGTAACTCTGGGTCTTCCATTCATGTGGGGGTCCTCATGAGAGCCAGTTTCATCATAGCGCCTGATGGTTTTTGCGACTGCACTTGAAGAAACTTTCAAAGTTCTTGAAATTTTCCGCAATGACTGACCTTCATGTCTTAAAGTAATGATGAACTGTCGTTTCTCTTTCCTTATTTGAGCTGTTCTTGCTTCTGTATACCCCCCTACCATGTCACAACACAACTGATAGGCAGAAATTCCACAAATGAACTTTTAAGAAGGCACACCTGTTAATTGAAATGCATTCCAGGTGACTACCTCATGAAGCTGGTTGAGTGTGCAAAGTTGTCATCAAGGCAAAGGGTGCTCCAAACTTTTGAAAGGGTGTCCAAACTTTTGACTGGTAGTGTACGTCTGTCCCTGATTTTAAGGTCAACCCTGTTACGTGAACTTAACTCTCATGTTAATATGCTGAAACTATTATAAAGAAACATTGAACATGTAATAATCAAATCCTAGTAAAAGCAGGTGAGCTGGTTCATAGCCATTTTCTGGTCTTTTGTGGTGGAAAACTGAGTGGGTCGAGCATAGCACATCAACCCTGTTACCCATAGATAGACAGGTTAGAAATGTTTTAACAATAAAACATTTTTTGTCAAGCTTGCATTCAATTGCCACTCCCTGTTGCACACAACAAGCTTCCATTCCCCCTGTCACAATGGGATTTATGACTGATTTAAGAAGAAATCGTCAACCCGGTTACGGTCAACCGTGTTACTTTATTTGGCACTTAATAGGCACTTACTATAGTATATATTTTTTTAAACTCTTGGGATGGAAAAACTCGTTCTTTATGACAGAATATTAAAATAAGGTGAAATGTCCAAGTTACACTTCACAAAAGGCACTGAATTGGTGGAATGACACAGCTAACATGTAGAGCAGTGGTCACCAACCTTTTCTGAGACAAGATCACGTTCACAGTCAAAAAGCAAGCTGAGATCTACCGCTCAGATTTAAAAAAATAATAATAATTTTTTACTCATTTAGCAGACACTCTTATCCAGAGCGACTAACAGTTAGTGAGTGCATACATTTTCATACTGGCCCCCCGTGGGAATCGAACCCATAACCCTGGCGTTGCAAACGCCATGCTCTACCAACTGAGCTACACAGGGCCTGACTTAAAAAATGTAACATTAACCTAATTAAAAACAGTTCTGTAGGAATTAAGTTTGTGCAGTAGGCCTAATACATTATCACAGCATATTGGCTATATGCCTGCCAATATTGTTCTTCTCAGACCATATAATATTTAAAAACTTGAGCTTTTATAACAAAATAGACCAGTTGGTGTAGCACTTGCGAGGCACAGCTGAGCATACATTTTTATATTTTGCAAATAATTCGCTTTTTTATTTTACTGGACTGATGGTACCTGCATCTGATAGTCTGGGAACTCGAAAAAAACGAGGTCAAATCATGACGTCAGTGATCTTCAGGTCGGAAAGTTGGAGCTCTAGAAAGATGCCTGAGTTTCCGAGTTGGAATTCCGAGTTGGATGACCGTTCACTCGATTTAGCCACAGATCTCCCGGTCCGCTGGGTAGGCAGAGTTTTTCTTTTCAGACAAATGAAATGATTCAAAATGGGAACACTTTGCCTACACGGTGCTCAGGGCTTCTGAATCAAGTGCACCTACCGCCAACAGTGCTGCTGAATCAAGTGCACCTACCGCCAAAAGGGCTTCTGAATCAAGTGCACCTACCGCCAACAGTGCAACACGAATAAATAAAAAATAGAGCGCAAGCCTTTATTGTTGGCTTTTCTACAGAAATATTTGGTGATCGAGCCTTGAAGGATCGTGATCGACCGGTTGGTGACCACTGATGTAGAGAATACTAAGTACATTTCAAACATTGTTTCAAATCCGGTTTCCATTTATCAATGCACTTGCATAAATGTCCTTGAAATGTTTTCCACATAAATGCCCTTGTATACTTGCATGGCTAAAGCGACAGACTGAGGCTGACTCCAGAGTCTGGGGGAGGCTCTTTGATGATGTAGGCACGACACGTCGATAATGAAGGGGGCTGTGCTTTTATAGTGGATGGCTCTCCACTGTGTCTCTCTTACACACTAAACACCCACACACTCAGCTACTGAGTACCGCCCCCCTTGCTTTACAACTGTTGTGTGTGATAACCAATCAGCGCGATCACTCAAAACTAAGCAAAAACTACCCTTAACGTGGTGTGGGACTCAATGAGAGTTAAAAGCTTGATTGTACCACATGGTCTGGTGTCAGCCAGTCCATTTGTATCCATCGTCCCTTAGAAATGTCAAACAACAATTATAGATTTGGCGATCAGATTAGAGAAAGTGCCAACGTTAGTTGCAAATGATCAGCAACGTGATTTTGCAATAACCAATCGACTTCCTGATATGTCATCCCATCATTGTCCACTACATGAGAGCAGAACAGAATGGAGAAATTAGTTGAAAGATATAGAGCCCAGTGTTGTGTTTGGTTGGGTAAGAGTGTGCATGCGTGGGAAGGTGTATGTGTGTATGTGTGTGTATTTGTGTGTGTGCTAACCTTGCTTGGAGCCCGCTCGGTCACTGCTAGGCCCGGTGTTGGGCGTGTACTTGGTGTCTCTGGTGGCAGCGCTGTGTCGGGTCCAGTCAAAGTCATCCGTCTTGTCCTGGGTGAACATACACACGGCCTCATCTTCAAAGCTGCACTGGAACTCTCCTGGTGGGGAAGACACACAGAGAAGACATTTAGATGCTACTGTACATGAAGGTCAGGAAAAATAGACGTTATGCATTTTCAAACAGATTACAAAAGGGGCTTAAAATGCATTATGAAGAATGTATTAATAGGTCATAATTTTTTGACATTAAGGACCTGTGTATTGCAATTGATGATTAACATTAATGAACTGTGTATTACATATTAAAACTCTTCACTTCTTTTTATTTATCTATGGCCTGTGTTAACTAAATCATTTTGCTTGGCTTATTAAATATTTGGATCAAACTGCCCAAGGGAGTCATAGCATTCATAGGAGTGATACTTACTCAAGTGAGGGTTGGCTGGAGCTGAAAGAAAAAACATGAGACTTAAATCATTTAGGTGTTCAAACTTCTGAAAGGAATGCCTGCGTTTAAGATTTAAATATAAAAATGAAGAACTACTTTGTTTGTCCCTGCAGTCGAATTTGCAGCAAAGTACTAGGGAGTAGTGAGGTGCCATCACTCTCTCTTATCATCCGGAGAGAGAGAGGGCTTATATACTGCAGAGGGCTAATGGAAGAGAGGAAGCACAATGCTCAGGTGAACCATACAGACCTGCATCTTTCTTAATTTAATTCACCACCTTCCCTATCTGTGCTCGCCAGGATCAGCGGCTGAGTCCTTCCGGAATCCCAATGAGGGCAGAACTGCATGCTAGGTAGAGGTTTCGCAACAATGTGCCGCGGAGATAGTTGACCTGAAATTGATCCCAATTTCAACCAATCAACTCCCAGAGCCTAATCTGTAGAGAAAGCATTCTTCAAGCACAGTAGGAGTTGGTGAGATGTATTCAGGCTGTAAACTTTCATGGTGAGCCATCTGCACTAGAGTAAACAGTGTGTCCATTTGGTAGTGTAACAGATCAGTGCGGCCCAAGAGAAGTGCAGCCAGAGGCCCATTGAATAGACTAATGATGAATTATCAGAATGCAAAAAATATAACACATTTGAAAAACAAAACAACTGCAGATGTTCAAGGGAAGAAGCTGCTATTATTAAAATGAAGTCTGTACAAAAAAATAGCTGAGAAATTATCCCATTGTAAAGAGAACCGCCAATTGATTGATTTCAGATTGAGGATTAAAATATGAAAATGCATGCGCCTGCATCAAATTATTTTAATTTGGGCAACTGTATAATATGGAGGGGTGGGTGGGAGGTTTAGTGGCGAATCGCATCAGATGTTCATTATTTGCCCGTTTTTTACATAGTTTTTCCCCTTTCCGAGCTGCAATATAGAAGCCAATTATGCATCGGGAGGTTCCATTTCCCCCACTACTAAACCACACAGCTGTTTCCAAATTGAGTGAGGAGGAGGAGGTCGCCTTGGTGGAGAGGAGCAGATGCTGCTAGTTTGGAAACATGCTCTACATTAGCACTGACACTAATTGATAGCCTCTGTGCACTCGGTGCAGCAAGACCACAACTAGGGCTACAGAGGCAGGGCGGGATGTAGGAGGCAATAGGCAGGGAGGCGACGGTGAAAAAACGCATAAAAAGGTAGTCAACATCATTAAATACACATTCAAATTGGTGCATTTCTCTTTTCCTCATCGTGTAGGATAGACTACACGTTTTCGTAAGCCTACATAAAAAATACATGTTTTTGTACATTCTGCTTTTCTCTTGTAGGCGTCACTTCAGGAGACCGTCTGAATATCCTTGTTTTCTTTATCAAACAGCTGCTGTACAATTTAGTGTGCAAGAAGTAAATACAAGGCCAAAGTTGCTCCAAGAAAAATACATACAGTAACTCTAACACCAACACTTGTGGTTACGAAAGATGATCCAGTGAATCAAACTGAAGTGGCTGCCCTGGCATGTCCTCGGGCCTTGAATGCTGTTATCCAGAGGACACAGTTAGAATCGAAAGGTGCAATGCTAGTATGCTACTGTACATATATGGGACGCCAGAATCAGATCTCAACACATTTCTGAGCAATTGCCTCCAGTCATACATGATAATTATCTACACTCATCTAACAACACTAAACGCAAACCACTGTACTACAGTATATTTCTGCGAGAAATAATGCTCAACTAGCCAGGTCCCAGACCTGTTTGTGCTGTCTTGCCAAGTCCTATGAACACAAACAGATCTGGCACCAGGATAATGCTCATCATCTTCTTACAGTTAGAAAATACAGAATCCAAGGTCAGTTCATTTTAGGCTTATTACACAAGCCCTTATCGTAATACCTGCACTTAGGCTAGCTAAATGCTTTCACAGAGCAATAACAATCTGGGGCATTGTCTTATGTCAGATCGCATCACTCCTATGCGGTGCACAACAAAGTTGTGACTAGGTGCTGCTAAAATTATTAGCAACCAATCACGTTGGGGTCAGCTGAGCAGAGCAGCAGCAGCTGAGCTGACGGGAAGCTACTGACTCGTGGCAGAACAGGCTGCGCTAGCAGCTTCTTAAAAACGAATTTATTGTGATGAAATAATGTTGCTAAAGTAGCTTGCTAGCTAGCTTATGGAGGAAGTGTTTGGTGTTCAGCATTGAGTGTGTGCACTAGGTTAGCTTCCTATTACTATTGGGGCGGCAGGTAGCTTAGTGGTTAAGAGCATAGTGCCAGTAACCGAAAGGTCGTTGGTTCTAATCCCTGAGCCGACTAGGTGAAAAATCTGTCGATGTGCCCTTGAGCAAGGCATTTAACTCTAATTGCTCTGGATAAGAGTGTCTGCCAAATGACTAAAATGTTAGTTGTCATGCACATTTTCAAACTCCAGAAATACTGGCAGAATCAAATCAAATTTTATTTGCCACAGCCCTTAACCAACAATGCAGCTTTAAAAAAAAAAAAAAAAAAATAGTGTTAAGTAAAAAAAAAAGAAGCAAATAATTAAAGAGCAGCAGTAAAATAAAATAACATTAGGGAGGCTATATCCAGGGGATACCGGTACAGAGTCAATGTGCGGGGGCACCGGTTAGTCGAGGTAATTGAGGTAATATGTACATGTGGGTAGAGTTAAAGTGACTATGCATAGAAAATAAACAGCGTAGCAGCAGCGTAAAAGAGGGGGTGGGGTGGGGTGGACAATGCAAATAGTCTGGGTAGCCATGATTAGCTGTTCAGGAGTCTTATGGCTTGGGGGTAGAAGCTGATAAGAAGCCTTTTGGACCTAGAATTGGCACTCTGGTACCGCTTGCCGTGTAGTAGCAGAGAGTAGCCCTTAACGAACAATGCAGTTTTAAGAAAAATATGTGTTAACTAAACAATAGATAAGTGAAAAATAAAAGTAGTAAAATAATAGTAGAAATAACAGTAGCGAGGCTATATACAGGGGGTATCAGTACAGAGTCAATGTGTGGGGGTACTGGTTAGTCGAGGTAATATGTACATGTTTAGTTAAATCCAGGTATAGTTAAAGTGACTATGCATAGATAATAAACAGAGAGTAGCAGCAGCGTAAAAGAGGGGGTGGGGGTGGGACAATGCAAATAGTCTGGGTAGCCATTTGATTAGCTGTTCAGGAGTCTTATGGCTTGGGGGTAGAAGCTGTTAAGAAGAAGCTCCGGTATCGCTTGCCGTGCGGTAGCAGAGAGAACAGTCTATGACTAGGGTGGCTGGAGTCGTTGACAATTTTTAGGGACTGCCTCTGACACCGCCTGGTATAGAGGTCCTGGATGGCAGGAAGCTTGGCCCCAGTGACGTACTGGGCTGTACGCACTATCCTATGTAGTGCCTTGAAGTCAGAGGCAGAGCAGTTGCCATACCAGGCGGTGATGCAACCAGTCAGGATGCTCTCGATGGTGCAGCTGTAGAACTGTTTGAGGATCTGAGGACCCATGCCAAATCTTTTCAGTCTCCTGAGTGGGAATATGCTTTGTCGTGCCCTCTTCACGACTGTCTTGGTGTGTTTGGACCATGATAGTTTGTTGGTGATGTGGACACCAAGGAACTTAAAGCTCTCAACCTGTTCCAGTACAGCCCCGTCGATGAGAATGGGGGCGTGCTCAGTCCTCTTTCTTTTCCTGTAGTACACAATCATCTCCTTTGTCTTGATCACGTTGAGGGAGAGCTTGTTATCCTGGCAACACATGGCAGGTCTCTGACCTCCTCCCTATAGGCTGTCTCATCGTTGTCGACGATCAGGCCTACCACTGTTGTATCGTCGGCAAACTTAATGATGGTGTTGGAGTCGTGCCTGGCCATGCAGTCATGGGCGAACAGGCAGTATAGGAGGGGACTGAGCACGCACCCCTGAGGGGCCCCTGTGTTGAGGATCAGCTTGGCAGATGTGTTGTTACCTACCCGTACCACCTGGGGCCGGCCCGTCAGGAAGTCCAGGATCCAGTTGCAAAGGGAGGTATTAAGTCCCAGGGTCCTTAGCTTAGTGATGAGCTTTGAGGGCACTATGGTGTTGAACGCTGAGCTGTAGTCAATGAATAGCATTCTGACGTAGGTGTTCCTTTTTTTCCAGGTGGGAAAGCACAGTGTGGAGTGCAATAGAGATTGCATCATCTGTGGATCTGTTGGGGCGGTATGCAAATTAGAGTGGGTCTAGGGATTCTGGGATAATGGTGTTGATGTGAGCCATGACCAGCCTTTCAAAGCACTTCATGGCTACATACGTGAGTGCTACGGGTCGGTAGTCATTTAGGCAGGTTATCTTAGTGTTCTTGGGCACAGGGACTATAGTGGTCTGCTTGAAACATGTTGGTATTACAGACTCCATCAGGGACATGTTTAAAATGTCAGTGAAGACACTTGCCAGTTCGTCAGTACACGTCCTGGAAATCAGTCTGGCCTTGTGAATGTTGACCTGCTTAAAGTCTTACTCACATTGGCTACGGAGAGTGTGATCACATAGTCATCCGGAACAGCTGATGCTCTCATGCATGCTTCAGTGTTGCTTGCTTCGAAGTGAGTCCTCTGTAGCTCAGCTGGTAGAGCACGGCGCTTGTAACGCCAAGGTAGTGGGTTCGATCCCTGGGACCACCCATACACAAAAATGTATGCACGCACGACTGTAAGTCGCTTTGGATAAAAGCGTCTGCTAAATGGCATATTATTATTATTAAGTGATTTAGCTCGTCTGGTAGGCTTGTGTCACTGGGCAGCTCGCGGCTGTGCTTCCCTTTTGTGTCTGTAATAGTTTGCAAGCCCTGCCACATCCGACGAGCATCGGAGCCGGTGTAGTACGATTCAACCTGTATTGACTCTTTGCCCGTTTGATGGTTCGTCGGAGGGCATAGTGGGATTTCTTATAAGCGTCCCGGTTAGAGTCCCGCTCCTTGAAAGCGGCACCTCTACCCTTTAGCTCAGTGCAGATGTTGCCTGTAATCCATGGCTTCTGGTTGGGGTATGTACGTACGGTCACTGTGGGGACGACGTCATCGATGCACTTATTGATGAAGCCAGTGACTGATGTGGTGTACTCCTCAATGCTATCGGAAGAATCCCGGAACATATTCCAGTCTGTGCTAGCAAAACAGTCCTGTAGCTTAGCATCTGCGTCATCTGACCACTTCCTTATAAACAGAGTCACTGGTGCTTCCTGCTTTAGTTCTTGCTTATAAGCAGGAATCAGGAGGATAGAGTTATGGTCAGATTTGCCAAATGGAGGGCGAGGGAGAGCTTTGTACGTGTCTCTGTGTGTGGAGTAAATGTGGTCTAAAGTTTTTCTCTCTGGTTGCACATTTAACATGCTGATAGAAATGAGGTAGAACGGATTTAAGTTTCCTTGCATTAAAGTCCCCGGTCACTAGGATGAGCGTTTTCCTGTTTGCTTACGGCCTTTTACAGCTCATTGAGTGCAATCTTAGTGCCAGCATCGGTTTGTGGTGGTAAATAGACAGCTACGAAAAATATAGATGAAAACTCTCTTGGTAAATAGTGTGGTCTACAGCTTATCATGAGATACTTTACCTCAGGCGAGCAAAACCTTGAGACTTCCTTAGTATTAGATTTTATGCACCAGCTGTTGTTTACAAATAAATATATACAGACCGCCACCCCTTGTCTTACCGGAGTCAGCCGTTCTATCCTGCCTGTAGTGTATATCCTGCAAGCTGTTATCCATGTCGTCGTTAAGCCACGACCCGGTGAAACATAAGATATTAACGTTTTTAATGTCCTGTTGGTAGGATATCCGTAATCTTAGGTCGTCCAATTTATTTTCAAATGATTGAACGTTGGCTAATAGGATTGATGGAAGAGGCAGTTTACTCGCTCGCCGTCGGATCCTTACAAGGCACCTCGACCTCTGTCCACGATATCTCCGTCTCTTTCTCATGCGAATGACGGGGATTTGGGCCTTGTCGGGTGTCTGTAGAATATCCTTCGCGTCTGACTCGTTGAAGAAAAAATCTTTGTCCAATACGAGGTGAGTAATCGCAGTCTTGATATCCAGAAGCTCTTTTTGGTCATAGCTCTTTTGGTGGCAGAAACATTATGTACAGAATAAATTACAAATAAAGGTGAAAAAACACACATAATAGTACAATTGGTTAGAGGGCCGTAAAACAGGCAGCCATCTACTCCGGCGCCATCTTCTTCTAAGCGCTATCTGATATAAGACAATGAATCTGGGGTCCATTCATCTTCCCATCAAATGACAGAAAATGAACAGTGCAATAGTTCATTGCTGTATTCCCTATATAGGCTACTTGCAATAATTTCCCTGTTTAGCTTGCTTTCAAAGGCCCCCTTCACCAAGCAATGTTTCTGATCTATGATTACAGCAACTTAAGCTCTGCCCGGTGATATACAACTAAAATGGTATATAACGTTTGTACAGCAGTAGTCTATCTGGTGCTAAGCCAACTAATGGTTTTGTCATCAAGCTCAGTATAATGTCTTAGTTTAAGAGCCTGCGTACAGTGTCAAGGAATAAACAAAGGCAGGAAAGTTTGGGAACAAGTTTGGGAATAAGTTTGAAGGTGCCCTTTGGAGGAGCTCATTGATATTTCCTCATGCAATTAAAATGCAGTTACTAATGTATAATATAATAACAAGTTAATACAATGTTGTTATAAGGGTAATTACAGTGTAAAGTCTTGCTACACCGGTATAATGTGTAACCAAAAGTACTTCAAGGCACTCCTCAGACAGTAGTGATTAAACAGTATCCAGGTTCTGGTTTATAACATTTACAAATATGCAAAAATGTGTTATTTGAGGTTAGTGTGCTTTGTGTAATCTTGATACAACTCATGCAGAGGGAGATTAATCGTTTCAGGTCAGATAGATTTGGAGGAATCATCTGTTGGTTGTCAGATAATCTGTAAATCATTGAAGTACAATGTTGTATCACTGGGCAAAAACACGAAAATATATTTCTCAATATTTCAGGTCACGGTATCATCTTATGTGAACAATCATGTGTAAGAATGTTTTCTCTCATATTAAAATAAATGTTATCCACAGGCATTTAGTGTGTGTGTGTGTGTGTGTGTGTGTGTGTGTGTGTGTGTGTGTGTGTGTGTGTGTGTGTGTGTGTGTGTTGAGCATCCCTTTTATTTTATGATATGAGATGACTGAGCAATTACAGTTTTCCCCATTTGCTTGCCAATTTGTCTGGCACCATCCAAGCATACATTTGAACTGCAGCCATTGCAAATCTTGATTAACAAACACAACTCAACCTTTGCCACAGGTTGTAACTGCCGGCTTTATAGCTCTATGAGAGAAACTCATTGAAAGGAGAACCAACAAGCACATTCAAAGATGAATATTTATCTCAATAAGTCAAAGGTCAGTCTTAATAGGGGAGTGAGGGATGTTCACTTACAAACATTCTCTTTTACCACGATGTCCTTAGTGGTTGTATAAATTGCAGTTGGTGAGTTTAATGTAGCCTAAATAATTTTATGAGGAGTATAAGGGTCTCATACTGGTCATTACTGTATACACAGTATAGACATTCCTGAATACAGTAAAATGTGCTTTCCCATGGGCTTAAAACTGTACACCGATAAGTTAAGTGTGTCACTGCATCAACGGCGACCTTTCGAGTCCTGATGTCGTTGTTGCACCACAACCTATGGTCACATGGGACCTTAAACACTGTTGAGAGGAGACCGGAGAGTAGAGGTTTAAATGTCAAGTCAGGCGTGCCTGTCAGTATGGGCAACAACCATAACATGGATACAGCATACAGCATCGTCTCAAACTACAGGCCTGCGGGCCACTAATAAGCACCTCTGGGCCTGATTTGGGCCAAGGGCCGGGAGTTTCAGACCTCTGAAATGGAACATATAGCATACTCCCCCTAAAAACAGGATAATAGATGGGTGGATGGAGTGCAATGCATTCTAGTGCTGCTATTACCTCACCTAACCTGGGCGCAGAGAACACATAATTAGAGAAAATAGGCTGGAAGCATCTAATTAGTGCAGAAGGTCAGTGAACTGTTGTGTTTTGTTTGCTAGTCAGAGCAGCTCGCCACCAGACTGTAATTTTGTGTTTCTATGGGGTGGGTTTGGCTGGCTGCGTGCATGCATGCATACTTCACATGCTAGGGCTGACAGCTGTAGGTTTGTACCAGGCGTGGATTTCAAAGGGTGGAGCTAGCATAGACCCAGGCTAGGCTATTCATGTCTGGGAGAAAGAGGACTCAAAACCTGGACAGTATTGTTTCTTGTGTTGTAGTGTTGCACTACAAGGGCTTCCAACTGTGTTGGTGTTGTTGAAGCATTGAAGCAACGCTCAGGCTGTCATTCTAATTCCGCAGCCTGTTGTCCAGTCTTGAAAGGAGTTAATTTGTTGAACAGGTGCATTGGACAGACATTTTCTGTGACTCTTTTCATTCCCTTTGTAAGAATGTACCAAAATGGATTGAGACAAAACAGTAAATGAGAGTGAAAGATAGAGAAACACTAGTTAAATAGACAATGATTATTCTCTGATGTGGAACCTTGTCTACATAAAGACCAGTAATAACAGATACGCAATTAAAGTCCACCCTCCAACTACATTAAAATTGCATTTCATTCAAAATCCTTTAAGTCTGTAACCTCGGCTGAAATCCTTAATGGATGGCTCCTGATACTTTTAAGGCTGTCTGCCCCGTCAGCGGTGATAATGGCACTTTTTGATGACTAAGTTGAATTGCTGAAAGTTTTGATGTAATTTTGCCTGAATCTCTGAATGAGAAATGATCACTGCCCCCCCCCCAAAAAAAAAAATGCATATCTCTCTGTGCTTTACTTCCTCAGTCAGTGACCTATCTAATTATATTTTCCTAACCAGTAGGGGTCCCTATTACCATATAAATACTCACAAAATATGACAGCGTCTAAATCGCTCTTACAGTGATATTTTCTTCAAGCCATGTTTACATGACTGTGTAATTATGACAAAATCCATATAGGGCTAGGATAGGACCTAGATGCTAACAGTCTACATCAGGGGTGTCAAACTCATTTTACTCCCAGGTACGCATTTGGTCTTCAATGAGGTCCGGAGGGCCGCACTGAAAATGTGTTACATTTCCTCGCCATCTAGATTTCAAAAACAGTCCTCTATCCATTATTTTTGGAATTTTCTATGCTCACTGACTGTCCGTCTTTCCTTTAGTTGATTATTAGCGAGCTGGACACATTCAAGAAACTGTGTGAATGTAGGTCCATTATCATTTCGACACGGATTTGGTTTTGGTCATTTTAAAGTATATTGAGTTTGTTTTCCCCACCAAACCACCCTGCCGTATGTTTGACACCCCTGTTCTACATAGAACATTATGTCCATGTTACATATGGCGCTAATCCTTACTGTAGAACATTCTGTCTTTACAGTACAATGCTGAGGGTCACATACAATATACAACAATATACAATACAATATGCAACTACAATAATGCAATACACAATTGTGCGCATACAAGGCCATGCTAGTCCCTACTGAAGAATAAAATACAGTCTGAACAATGCTGAGGGTCAAGTACGTTTGTATACTACAAAACAAAATTGTGAGTATACACAGCCATACTGTACAGTTCAACTAGACTGAGAATGATTTCCGCTTACCACTGTATCTGATGATTCTGTCTGTGGAGTCTCCCTCTCCGAAGCGTGTGATGGGGGTGAGGCGGACCAGGTAGGCCTCGGGCTTGATGAGCTCCGTCAGGTTGTGGGTGATCAGCTCCCCCTTGGCGATTGCTCCCTCCATGGGGATCTCCTGCTCCCACCACCTCGACTGGCCCGTCTAGACAAAACATAGGATTTTTTTGAAAAATCATTAGAATACCCTTTTGTAATGTTTTTTTATACAAGAAGTGCACATAGTCCAAACTGGCCACATTATAATCAATTCTCACTGATCCCATTTCTGAACTCAAGGTCAAAGAAAACATCCTTGAAATCCATACTAATAGAATACATTTGGCCATCAGATATTTAATGAATTACACTACCGGTCAACAGTTTTAGAACACCTACTCTTTCAAGGGTTTGTCTTTATTTTTACTATTTTCTACATTATAGAATAATAGTGAAGACATCAAAACTATGAAATAACCAAAAAATGTAGTAACCAAAAAAGTGTTAAACAAATCAAAACATATTTGAGATTCTTTAAATAGCCACCCGTTGCCTTGATGACAGCTTTGCACACTCTTGGCATTCTCTCAACCAATTGAATGCAAGCTTGACAAAAAATGTCAAACATTGTTAAAACATTTCTAGCCTGTCTATCTATGGGTAACAGGGTTGACGTGCTATGCTCGACCCACTCAGTTTCCACCACAAAAGACCAGAAAATGGCTATGAACCAGCTCACCAGCTTTTACTATGATTTGACTATCAATGTTTCTTTTTTTTTATATATAAAAAAATATATATAGTTTCAGCATATTAAAATGAGAGTTAAGTTCACGTAACAGGGTTGACCTTAAAATCAGGGACAGACGTACACTACCAGTCAAAAGTTTGGACACCCTTTCAAAAGTTTGGAGCACCCTTTGCCTTGATGACAGCCTTGCACACTCAACCAGCTTCATGAGGTAGTCACCTGGAATGCATTTCAATTAACAGGTGTGCATTCTTAAAAGTGAATTTGTGGAATTTCTTTCCTTCTTAATGCGTTTGAGCCAATCAGTTGTGTTATGACAAGGTAGGGGGGGGTATACAGAAGATAGCCCTATTTGGTAAAATAAGTCCCTGATTTTAAGGTCAACCCTGTTACGTGAACTTAACTCTCATTTTAATATGCTGAAACTATTATTTAAAAAAATAAAAAATAAAATAAAACATTGATAGTCAAATCATAGTAAAAGCTGGTGAGCTGGTTCATACCCATTTTCTGGTCTTTTGTGGTGGAAACTGAGTGGGTTGAGCAAGAACAGCTAAAATAAGCAAAGAGAAACGACAGTCCATCATTACTTTAAGACATGAATGTCAGTCAATAAGGAACATTTCAAGAACTTTGAACGTTTCTTCAAGTGCAGTCGCAAAAACCATCAAGTGCTATGATGAAACTGGCTCTCATGAGGACCGCCACGAAGACCCAGAGCTACCTCTGCTGCAGAGGATAAGTTCATTAGAGTTACCAGCCTCAGATATTGCAGCCCAAACACAAGCAATGGACATTAAACCGGTGGAAATGTGTCCCTTGGTCTGGAGTCCAATTTTGAGATTCTTTGTTCCAACCGCCGTGTCTTTGTGAGATGCGGTGTGGGTGAACAGATGATCTCAGCATGTGTATTTCCCACCGTAAAGCATGGAGGAGGAGGTGTTATGGTGTGGGGGTGCTTTGCTGGTGACACTGTCTGTGATTTATTTAGAATTCATGGCACACTTAACCAGCATGGCTACCACAGCATTCTGCAGCGATATGCCATCCCATCTGGTTTGGGCTTAGTGGGACTATCATTTGTTTTTCAACAGGACAATGACCCAACACACCTCCAGGCTGTGTAAGGGCTATTTTACCAAGAAGGAGAGTGATAGAGTGCTGCATCAGATGACCTGGCCTCCACAATCCCCCGACCTCAACCCAATTGAGATGGTTTGGGATGAGTCGGACGGCAGAGTAAAGGAAAAGCAGCCAACAAGTGTTCAGCATATGTGGGAATTCCTTCAAGACTGTTGGAAAAGCGTTTCAGGTGTAGCTGGTTGAGAGAATGCCAAGAGTGTGCAAAGCTGTCATCAAGGCAAAGGGTGGCTATTTGAATCTCAAATATAAAATATATTTTGATTTGTTTAACACTTTTTTGGTTACTACATGATTCCATATGTGTTATTTCATAGTTTTGATGTCTTCACTATTATTCTACAATTTAAAAATAGTAAAAATAATGAGTGGGTGTTCTAAAACTTTTGACCGGAAGTGTACGTATTTTACAAGGAAGTGCAACCATCACTACAGCCTCCAAAACACTTGGTTACATGATCTTTGTCCCATCTACCATTAAGTCAGACCAAAATAAGTTGAGTCAAGGGGTGGATTTCAATTGTATTTCCTTAATTCCTTGTGTACTCCGTCCCTTGATCAAGGAAATACAATTGAGATTCTCCCAAGCTTGCCATCACTTAGCTTTATGTTAGTTTGTGTGATTCTGGAGGAATGACAAGTGAAGGAAACCCCTAGAGACTGGGGCTACGTCACAATTCTCTGCAAGTGTGCACCATACATTTCCTGACCTGTAAAACTGAAAGTTTAACGTTCTGATAACAGCAGTGAAAATTGTGCCTGATCTGAGACCGCTTATTTTTATGTTGCAGGGCGGTTCTGAGAAAGTTTTACTCTGGTTTCCTGGGAGGTTTTATTAATGTTTTGAGAATGGAAATGATAGGTTATTTTTTATTTATTTTATTTTTTAATAACTTCCTTAAAACTTTCACTGACTGTTTCAATAAGACTTAATAACAATGCTAGCTTTTTGGGGATTATTTAAAAAACAAACTCCAACCAGAGATAGGACACATGGTAATTCATTTCCTTAAGCATTAATCATGCAAACACATTAATTTTTTATTGTGACATGGCATCAGTGCGATATGAACCTATGATCTTCTGTTCTCTGTCTATGGAATTAGTCCACTGCACCACCAGAATGTTTTTTTACGTATTCAAAGCTGTTCATTTGAGTCTATTCCAGGGTTCTCCAACCCTGTTCCTGGAGAGCTACCTGCCTGTAGGTTTTCGCTCCAACCCCAGTTATAAATAACCTGATTCAGCTTATCAGACAGCTAGTTCTCTCACGTCACCCCCCTCCTCCGCACACTCCACTGGCTTCCAGTTGAAGCTCGCATCCGTTACAAGACCATGGTGCTTGCCTATGGAGCAGTGAGGGGAACGGCACCTCCGTGCCTTCAGGCTCTGATCAGTCCCTACACCCAAACGAGGGCATTGCATTCATCCACCTCTGGCCTGCTGGCTCCCCTTCCTTTGCAGAAGCATAGTTCCCGCTCAGCCCAGTCAAAACTGTTCGCTGCTCTGGCACCCCAATGGTGGAACAAGCTCCCTCACGACGCCAGGACAGCGGAGTCACTCACCACCTTCCGGAGACATTTGAAACCCCACCTCTTTAAGGAATACCTGGGATAGGATAAAGTAATCCTTCTACCCCCCCCCCCCCAAAAAAAAATAATAATGAAAAAATGAAAACAAATAACAATAAAAAAAATATATATATAATAATAATAATAAATTTGGAAAAAAAATGTTTTTATTGTAAAGTGGTTATCCCACTGGCTATAGGGTGAATGCACCAATTTGTAAGTCGCTCTGGATAAGAGCGTCTGCTAAATGACGTAAATGTAAATGTAAATGTAATTATTAGAATCAGGTGTGCTAGATTAGGGTTGGAGTGAAAACCTACAGGACGGTAGCTCTCCAGGAACAGGGTTGGAGAGCCCTGGTCTATTCAAACAGACCCCATTTCAAAGGAAACAAGCACTCATTAAGATCAGGTGGGCACGTCCAACACACCTAAACACACTTAACAAGATAGAAGATAATTTTGTTGATTGCGAGAACATTCTTAGAATGTTCTCTGAACGTTACTAAAGTATTTTGTGGTTTTTATGGAACGTTTTGTTAACGTTCTCGGAACAATTTGAGAACGACTTTAAATAGAACCATGACGAAACCTGTAGGAAACGTTATACTGAAGTACTGAAATTCCCACAGAAGAATGTTGTTTCTTAACGTTCTCTGACCTATTTGAGAACATTCCCAAAGTCAAACCAGTTAGAGAACGTTCCTAGAACATTAAAAACATTTTAATTAAATGTAACCATGTTTGAACTTTTAGGAAACGTTCTGTTAAAGTAATGAAACACCATGATTTTGTTTTGTTTTGTGAGGTTCCATAAATATGCTGAGAATGTTCCGAAGCCAAGCGATATATCCTGCACCAAAGGTCATACCCCCAAGACATGCTAGCCTCTCACCATTACCAATAACAGGGGAGGTTAGCATTTTTGGGGGGGTATGATATTTATGCCTCTGTAACTTTCTCACTCATTATTCACGATTCATTCATGATTATCCGTAATCATGGTAGCATCCACATTAATGTAGAAATGTTTAGAAACATATTCTATTCTACATAGTCATTGTATAATTTCAAATCAAAAGTGCTGGAGTACAGAGCCAAAACAATTGTCACTGTCCAAATACTTTTGGACCATTCTGTAATGACCACACTGTGCCACACTTGTACACTCTGTTGTACAGTCCTGTCTATCACTATGGCTTTTTATTTCTGTCTTTCTTACAAATAACACAGCCTGCCAAGAAATATATTGTGAAACTTCATAATGAATTGACCAACTGTTTTACAAATGGCACCTCAACATAATGACAAGTGTTGTTGGCAGACATAAACAAAGACATTAACAAATGCATTTGAATACAACAAGCAGGCAGATGCGCAGACACGCACGCACATACACAAACTACAGCTGCAATGACGACAATAGACTATTGCTGCAGGGAAGATAAGAAATCTGTTCACGAATAGGTGTCAATTACGAAATGGACAAACATGCTAAAGAGCAAAGACAGCTAATTGGAGCTGTGGTGCCACCGTGTTGGAAGCATTGAGACGTGATAAGATGCTTTCGCTTTCTGAAATCCCCATTTGCATTGAAAACAAGTTGCACAAAGAAACATGCATCTTCAAATCAAATATTAAAGGAATAATTTAAAGCATGTAGGTTTTAATCTAAATACTCTCGCCGTCTTAGTTCCCTTATTGG